TCCCTGAAGTCGATATCCGGCGTCTTGTCTTGGCGTATGTTGGCTTGTATGTTGTTCCGTAGATTGTGGTGGGTGTTGATTGTGGTGATCTTGTCCCCTCTCCTCCTAGGGGTCTTGTATTTATACCCATATGTAGGAATGAAAACGGATCAAATACGGTCGGAAACTAGCTTTATCATATTCGTTTTCATATTTTTTCTCGGAATCAAAATCGGAATCGGAAACCCGGATACGAAAACAGAATCAAAAATTATCGAATACAGATACGGAGCGAATACAAATCGAAACGAATACGGTAACGAATATTAATCGGAACATAAAAGTCCCTCAAACTGACCTTCACAAATCAATGAAGAAATATAACTCGTTACTTTTTCTAATAGAACATATCAACATTTTCAAATTTTAGTGTTAATAATTTTGTTATATCCGATTTTGTGGTTGAGGAAGATGATTCAATCTAAGAGTAAGACATTATGAGGCAAAATCATGTCAATAAATTGGATGATTGTTTTTTTCTAAATATTTCTAAAATCATGTTCTATCGAGTTATTGTGTTCTTACTGCAACTAGTTTTTGATAACCTTTTCACATGAGTTCATTTAGTATCATAAAATTTAATTCAAAGTTGAGGGACATCATATAGACTTAATAGCTAATTCTTAGGCCCGTTGGCCCAGGGATATATAAACCTATCCCTAGTTTCTCCCGCCTCCCAATCTCCCACACCTCCCAATCTCCTCTCAGCCGCCGCCCTTCCTCCCGGGCTCCCGGCTCCCGCGAGACGCCACCACGGGGGCGGGGCCCGCGTGTGGCGGACGGCGACGGCGACGGCGACGACGGGGGCTGGGCCGCGTGCGGCGAATGGCGACGGCGACATCGGGGGCGGTGCCGCGTAGGGCGGATGGCGACGGCGGTTGCTCGGCGGCGCGAGGCGACGACTTGCGGCTTGCGGCGACGAGCGTAACCGGCCGCGCCGCCGTCGGGGCGGCCGGGTCACGGCGACGGCCAGCGCGAGGCGACGTCGTGTGGGTGCGGCGGACGGCAACGCCGGCCTCGGGGCGGCCGGATCCGGGGTTGGCGGCCCTGGAGCCGCGGGATCCGACGTCGTGAGGCGACGACGACGGAGGGGGCTCGGCGGCGCGAGGGGACGGCGTGCGGCGGACGGCGACGAGCGGATCCGGCGTGCGACGTGCGACGGCAACGGCGGGAACTCGGCGGCGCGAAGCGACGGCGTGCGGCGGACGGCGACGAGCTTTTTTCAATGTTTTAATTTGGATTTTTCTGTTTATTATGATTCGGATATCCGGCAAAAACGGTCGGATAGTTTCCGACCGAATCCGAGTTCTGACGGATACCATCGCTACTGTATTTGAATTCGTATCCGAGAAAAACTATCCGAATTCGTATCCGAATCCGAAAATATCTGAAAAAATCCGACCGCAACAATCCGCATCCGAAAAACAGGATCGGAACTCGGAAATTATCCGTACCACTTTTATCCCTACCCATAGGTGTCCCCTTGTCCAAGTAGAACTAGGGAAACCTATATGGATATAATCTGAGTAGTCCTTGTCGTTTCCATGTAGAACTCTAGTTGTCTTTCCTTATTCGGAACTCCATCCATATCTGAGGTCGGTTTCCGTATAAGACATGGTATGTGGTGTGTTCTGCCGAGATGTAGTCAACTGAGGTATGTGGTATCTATAACCTGACAGAGACCAGGAGAAGTAAACGCATGTGGAGACATATGAAAGTGGCGACGACAGAGACCAGGAGAAGTAAACGCATGTGGAGACATATGAAAGTGGCGACGACGCTAGGGTTTGGTCAAGCGGCGGCGGAGATAAAAAACCGGATGGAAAAAAACAGCGAAAAAAGCGGCAACAACAAAAAAAAAAACGGAGCAAAAGAAATCTGATGAAAAAAAGCGGAAAAAACCGAATCGAAAAAAAAAACAGCGAAAAGAAGGAGACGATAGAAAAGATAAATATAAAATTAGAAATTAACTCAAACACGGATGGCGTACCAAAATCCCGACGGAAATATCTTTAATTTTTATAATAGTAAAGAAGAGATAGAGATAGAGATAGAGATAAAGATAAAGATAAATATAAAGATTTTTGATTTCCAGGATCGTAAGATTAGATTTATCTGATTTCCTATTTTTAAGGTCGTTAGATTATATTTGTGATTTTTATTTTTAGAGTCGGTATGTCAGGTGGGACTTAAAAAACACTATAAAAATATTTTTTAAGTAGGTAAAGTTACGGAGAAATATATGAGCCTAACTCAAATTAGCCCCCACAGGAGATATGCCAACAAATGCATGCGGAAGTCAGGGCAAGGCTCGTGCGTTCTCATTAGGATGACCTACTTCCACCAAGTTTCTTTGCATGAAGGCAGCTGCAGAAGCGACCCAGCAACCACCCAAATCTCCATACGGTATGGTCGATCTCGATCATGCATGTTGAAGAAGACCAACGATGACCGGAGTAGTAGCTGACTGCCCTGACTCTGCTTGATTTGCTATGCCACCTACGGTTTGGAAGATTCAGAGAAATATCCCTTTTACTTGTACATGTACTAATAATTGTCGACATGCAAATGCAAGTGGTTGCTGTTCGTTTGTGGCACAAACAAAGTTGTTGAGGTATTATTGAAATCAATATTTGCTATAGGATATACTCCCTCCGTTCCTAAAATACTATTATTTTAACTAGTCGAAGGCAAAATAAATAAAATTGTAAAAGATTACTATGCCCTTCATTAGATTTTATTAGATAATGGAAATGGATTACATCTCCGACTTCTATCATAAGACACATAACCATAAGTTTGTTTAATATAAAATAAATCAAAATGAGAAATAAGATGATGGGACAAATCCCCAACTCCCCTTTATTATTGATAGATTTTTTAGCTAGCAATTCTAATGAAACTAGACCACACATAGTGATAGTGAAGTAAGAGACCCTTGACTACCGATTACAAGAGTGTAATACCGATGTATATTATCATGTTCTTCCTCGTGTGATAGCATCGTAAACTAAAAGTAAAGTCAATAAGAATATATGAAGATAACCCGCGTAGGGTTAGATAATTGTTTATCATTATGGCAACATCAAATTGACCAAGATACAACACTAGCTTCAATTAGAATAATATTTTTAATGGATCTAGATACCTCTCTAAGCCAATTACCAAAAATATTTTTGATGTTACGGGGTGGAGGGATATTAAAAGAAAAAAACACACATCTCAAAACAAACTGAGCAACGTAACATTAAAAAAAAGATGTTGGATTGTCTCTTGTCCATAACAGACAGAATAGTGTTTGCCTCCTTCTATTTTCTTTTATCCAGTTTATATCTTTCGTTAGAATTACTTTCTTTAGTGGAACGTACATATCGATAATGAGCCGTCTTTGATGATTTTGTAAGTCTCAAGATATGCCGGCTGAGCTTTTAGAGATGCTCGTAAGGGTATGACGTGTGTTAGTAAGGATTAGTGTGCATACGGTTAGACGAGCATTTGTGTCTGTGTTTGTACTGTGTTTCATCGAAAAAAAAAAGAGAAAGGGATAAAACAAAGAGGGAGTATGGCGTGTGTTCGTACAGGTTAGCGTGCTGTTTATATGAGCGTTGTATTGTTTTGGGGAAAAATATAAGCAGAGGGGGATAAAACAATAAGGAGTACTACTGATTAAGTGGTTAATTAAAGGAAAGAGTATGAATTACCCCCTAACAATCGCAACAATACGAATTACCCTCGTAAATCACAAAACCAGACATTTGACACCCCAAACTATTGAAACCGGATAAATTACTCCCTTGGCTAAATCTGAAGTGGTTTTGGTGCTATGTGGCATACACGTGATGTTAATCTGGCAATCCAATAAAAAATAATAATAATAACTATGGGCCCATTTCTCATATACTCCTACCTCACCCCTTTCTCTTCTCTCTCTGATGCTGGGGGCGCGGCATGCAGGGCGAGCGGTGGCCGGAGGGCACTGTGGACGTGGAGCACCGGTGTTGGTGCCCGCGTCTGTGGTGGGTGCAGTGGCGGTGTTGCGGGGAGATATGGAGGTGCGCCAGAGGCGGACGATGGTGAGGAAGGCCGCCACCGTTGTTCCCCCATTCCCCTATCCGTCTCTTATGACTCCCTCCCCTTTCTTGCAGTGCGGCGGTGGCGGTGGTTTGGGCGGAGAAGGCCACGGCAAGGAGGGTCGCCACCGTTGCCGCCACCTTTGCACGGGGGCGAGCTCTCGGCCACTGGGGGCGTGGTGATCGTGGAAGGAGGAAGGGGAATGGGCGAGGAGGCAGACACGCGAACGGGATCGTGCTGGCGTGCTACACCGCGGTCCTCGACGAGCCAGGCGCGCCCCCGCGCGACACCAGTTCTGCTTCCGCCGCCGCCTGCCTGGTCCGCCTCCGCCACTACAGTCGGCCGCCCAAGCGTGTGCGAGAGAGAGAAAGAGCGACCGGGGAAAGATTGGGTTGAGGGAGAAGAATGGCAAGTGGGCTTGGAGAGTTTTATTTGTTTTTTTACTGACTGGATTGCCACGTTGGCACCACGTGTGCAAGCTCAAGTTGAAACCACTCAAAATAGTGTTAAGGGGGGTTATTTGTCCGGTATGAATAGTTGAGGATGTAAAATGTCTGGTATTTTAGTTTGGGGTGTAATTGGGTCAACCACAATAATTTGATGGGGGGAAATAATTCGTATTTTTTTCCTTCATTAAAAGAGAAGAAAAGGGTAAGCAGTAGCAAGAGGTTCGGCAGACCTCACTCTAAAAATAGTCTTTGTGAAACAAAACTTGAAGCTGAAACGACAGTCTCTAGGGTACAGAGGAAGAGTAACTAATTAACATCTAGTACTAATAATTTAGCTGTCCCCACTCCCCACTAGCTAGTTCCTTCTTGCACATTTCCATTCCACCAAACCAACTTCCAGACAAAGATGGATCGATTATTGGTTGAAGCTCAGAGGAGGCTACGCTTGCTTTATACAAGTGCTGGAGCTGCTATTGCATTTTGAGCATCGAGCAGCCGCGGTACCCCAATTCTCGGGCCTCACCAAACGCAGAAAACACACATTATATACTGCATTCGTGTCAGTAATACAATGGCAAAGAACCTGTCAATCTCCGTTCAGCTGCTTCTCGTCCTCTTCGTTTTACTCGCTTTTGCCAGCGGCATCCTCGCACAAGGTGGACCAAGCACCTGCACGGACAATCGTAAGCTACCACTGCTGCTATTTCTTTACTTCTTTTTTTCTAAATAGACGAAAGAAGGTTTAATTTGCTGCATAAATTACGATCTTAATTTCGCCTTTCTAGCTAATTAAAGTTCTTTGCTCGTCATTTCTGGCAGCTGTGCAGCAAGATTGCCCGCCAATCCCTGGTAGAGGGAACTAATAATTAATTAATGTTGCCACCGGATCCATGCATGGATGGACGATGCGGAGAAATATATAATTGATCACGTGCCATATAGTAGTATTTCTACGCAGCAAGTTTACTACGGAGTACTTTCTCAGTCAATAAAACCCATTTCTGGATTTGAATATAGATATAGTGTTGATGTGTTTTTGCCGTGCGTTGCTTGTAATGATTTGCTTTACCAATATAAATAATATAACGGACAGTATAACTGCCCGAGGAGATATTGTATCCGGTAATAAGTAAATGTATATTCACCATCTGGTGTCCAACACCGCCAAGTTATATATTCACTGTGGGGAAGAGCTCTTTAGTCCTGGTTTGTAACCTCTTTTAGTCATGGGTTACAAACCGGGACACCCAATCCAGGACTAAAGATGATAACGCTACCATCCTTAGTCCCGGTGTTACCAACTGAAACTAATTTTTTTTTCTTTTTTCTATTGTTTTTTTTCTACTTGCATCTATTTATTTCAAGCACCAATGCTGTCACCCCCAATTCCTGACAAATCATCCACAACAAATCATCCACCATAGGTCCATCCCCAAAATAATCCGCGTTCCACAAGTCATTCAAAAAATCATCCCTAAATCTAAAAATATCTACAACAAAATTTACAAATCATTCACAAAATCTAACAAAAATCTAGAAAGCCACAGCCGCCGGCGGGCGCCTGGCCATGCGCCGCCTCCCATCCCGCCGCCGCGGCTGCTTCCGCCACCTGGCGGCCTCCCCTCCCGCCGGATCTGGTGGAGGGGAGAGCCGCCGCCCGCCGTCGCTATCGTCGAAGGAGGGGGGAGGGGGTGGAGAGGGGAAGGGGAGGAGGGGGAGGATGAGGATGAGAAAATGAGAGGGGAGGAGGAGAGGATGAGCAGATAAGGACGAGGCGCGTGGCTCGGTGCATAGCTCGGGGCAACTGTTCATGGTTTTTTTTAATTTTGGTCCCGGTTGGTATAAATAACTGGGACTAAAGATAATAGGGTCTGACATGTTTTTCAACCAGGATTAAAAATGATAAGTACCCTAGGTTACTACTCGAATCAGGACTAATGTGATTTTTGCATGACCAAGCAAATATCACTTCTCCAGTAGTGATTTCATCCTACTCAATGTCACGATGCACTTTCTGAAATGACCATGGATCATAATTGGATCAACTTACTTTGTACCGGGCTCTTTCTAGTGCCCACGTACTGTCTCTAGATAGCGTCTTGCCATCAAGTGCTTTTGTCGGTGCACGGTTTAGGAGGAAGACTGTCGTAATCACAGGCTCACCCTACAACTTCATAGGCAAGTCGTGTTCGGTTCAGCAGCTGGCTATGCACCATCGCCACGATGCTCTGGTCTCACTTCTCAACGATGTTGTTTACTCCCTGTTGGAGGCATGCCATGAAGCCTTTCGGCCGGACCTGCCGAAACCATAGTACCAGCAGGGATTCAAGCCAAAGACGTCAAGACCATTCGGGCGAAGCCCTATGGCGAAAGCCATAAGCGAAGCTGGCGAAGGCTGGAAAGCCGCATCGGTACTCCGCAAGTAAAGGCATCTCGGGCGAAGGGCATACGGTGAACTACAAATACTTCGCCATGACGAGTTCGGCATTAAGGAGGCCCAGCAGGCTGCCCCCGACCTTTAAGGCCCCTTCGCCATAGACCAGGCCCAGCCTATCGGCCCATTAAAGGCCCATATATGCAAATGACACCGTGTACCCATATAAATATCCCTTTCATAAGGGCAACCATGTAAAATCCCCTGTAAACCTAAACCCTAGGAGGTGTAAGCCTGTGCTAAGGTTATAAATAGACCCCTAGGGCCATGTAATGGGGGATCCCAATAAATTTTATAAATCAATACACTTATTGCTTTTCCAACACTGTTGAGCAACCACGTCCTTCGACGTGACGCAGTTGTCCATTCGACAACAGCTGGCGCCGTCCGTGGGGAACCCAGACTAAAAGGCTGAAATGGGAGCCTTTTGCCACACCCACACCCTTCGCCATGTTACCAATAAGGTACGACGTCAAGGGCTGTGGGCGAACAGGTTTTGCCACACCTAGGCCCTTCGCCGCAATACCAATAAGGTAAGGCGTCAAGGGCTGGGGGCGAATAGGTTCCGCCATACCCAGACCCTTCGCCACAGTACCAGTAAGGTATGGCGTCAAGGGCTGCGGGCGAAGAGATTTCGCCACACGTCACACCCTTCACCACAATACCAATAAGGTACGGCGTCAAGGGCTGGGGGCGAATAGGTTCCGCCACACCCAGACCCTTCGCCACAATACCAATAAGGTGCGGCGTCAAGGGCTGCGGATGAACAGGTTTCGCCCGCCCACGCCCTTCGCCATAGTGCTAATAAGGTACGACGTCAAGGGCTGGGGGTGAATAGGTTTTTCCATACCCAAGCCCTTCGCCACAGTACCAATGAGGTACGGCGCCAAGGGCTTGGGGCGAAAATGAGTCAGGACCAGAGACGAAAATAGGGGCCGCGAAGCCAAACTAGCCTGTGGACACCTTTCGCCACAATACCAATAAGGTACGGCGTCAAGGGCTGCGGGCGAAGAGGTTTCGCCACACGCCACGCCCTTCGCCATAGTACCAATAAGGCACGTCATCAAAGGCTGCGGGTGAACAGGTTTCGTCCGCTGACGCCCTTCGCCATAGTGCCAATAAGGCACAGCGTCAAGGGTTGCGGGCGATAGGTTTCGCCCGCCCACGCCTTTCGCCATAGTGCCAATAAGGCACGATGTCAAGGGCTGCAGGCGAATAGGTTTCGCCCACCCACGCCCTTCGCCATAGTACCAATAAGGTACGGCGTCAAGGGCTACGGGCGAAGAGGTTTCGCGACACCTAGGCCCTTCGCCACAATACCAATAAGGCACGGCGTCAAGGGCTGCGGGCGACTAGGTTTCGCCACACGCCACGCCCTTCGCCACAATACCAATAAGGTACGGCGACAAGGGCTGGGGGCGAATAGGTTCCACCACACACAGACCCTTCGCCGCAATACCATTAAGGTGCGGCATCAAGGGCTGCGGGCGAACAGGTTTCGCCCGCCCAAGCCCTTCGCCATAGTGCCAATAAGGTACAGCGTCAAGGGCTGGGGGTGAATACGTTTCGTCACACCCAGGCCCTTCGCCACAGTACCAATGAGGTACGGCGCCAAGGGCTGGGGGCGAAAATGAGTAGGACCAGAGGCGAAAATAAGGGCTGTGTAACACCCTGAAAATTCCCGACAACAAAAAAAAATCACTAAAATTTTGAACTTTTTATAACTTGTGCATCATGCTGGTTGTTATGGTTGATATTGCTTGCCAAAATGTAAATAATCACAAAGAAAGCAAATCCAAACAAAGGGACGGTTAATTACTAATTTAATTTGTAGATCAAATATTAAATATTCGAACCATGCTGATAGCTTGATGCCATGATTAACTAAAAGAAACAGTAAATTCAAATCTAATTCATTTGGATCCAATCTCACATGAAATATAAGAACACATGAAATGATGATCACCACTATAATGATCGTTTTTTATAAATAAGTAATTCACCAGAATATATAGATTGATACTTAGAACACTTCACCAAGTTCCTGATGACATGAAAATCACTCATATAAAATAATGGTCATATAAATAAATTAAGCTTTATATATAAACAAGAATATGTGAATGTTTAATTAAACAATTAGATTAATGTTGTATCGAGTCTCAAATTATATTTATAGAATGACTAGATCCACGTAAAATACATTGTTATACAAATAAGTTCATTCAATGTGCTATTGTAATAATAATAGCCACATTAGGATATTTTAATTAATTTTAGAACCCTCAAAGCCTCCAAAATTATCTAGGTTAATTTTGGAATTAGACCTCATCTAAATAATGCAATAGGAATATATATATATATATATGGATAATATTAAACATTGAGTAAACTTTCATCTAAATTAACAGTTGAGTGACCTGGCTCATAACAGTTGAAACATACCTGCTGCTCCCTTCCACTACTGTTATCTTCTTGAGGCTGGTTCTGCTGAACTGGCACTGATTGAGTAGCTTGCTCAATGTTAACTTCATTGCTTGCATTAGTCTCTGAATTGATCTCACAACTGATGTTCAACTGTTGCGACTGTCCTTGACCTGCAGAAGAAGATTCACCCATTTGGAGTGGCTTGATACGCTGCCTCTGCCTCCTGGAAAACAGTCATTCTTCTCTTACGGTTGTCCATCCTGTTCTTCTTGTCTTCAAGTCGAATTGCTTTGTCAACCAACTGCTGAAAATCAGAATAGTCATGAGAGATCAACTTAACTGACAGTTCATCCTTTAGACCTTCCAAGAACTTCTCCTGCCTTTCCTTGTCAGTACGCACATCTTCTAGAGCATAACGTGCTAGACGGTTGAACTCATGAAGATACTCTGTCACGGTATGATCCTTTTGCTTCAATGTCCTGAACTCACGTTTCTTCAAAGTAACCACTCCTGCAGGTATGTGTGTCTTCCTGAATCCTTCGATGAACTCTTCCCAAGTGATTGGTTGTCCTTTTGCTCTGTTCATCCGAAAGTGATCCCACCATTCTGAAGCTGGTCCTTGCAACTGATGTGAAGTGAAAACAACTTTCTCCTGGTTTGTGCACTGGAGCAATACCAACTTCTTCTCAATAATGTGTAGCCAATCACCAGCTTCCACTGGGTTGGTAGTGCTAGAAAAGGTAGGCGGCCTCACACGAAGAAAATTAGCTAACTTGTTTTGAGGCGGCGGAGGATTGACATTATTGTTCCCTTGCTGGTTCTGCACTTGTTGCACTAACATGTTGATCAATTGGGTCTGTTGAGCCAGCACTTGAGCAAGGGTTGGGTTCTCTTCATTGTTATTGTTTTCGCTTCTACTGGCGCGAGTGTTCACCATTTGTTGCATATTAGAGAAGATAGAAGGAGAGGGGTTACACTAGAGTTAAGACCTTAACCAGGTTACCACTGATCTGGTGTGTGTAGACCATTATATTGTTCAAGTTGATTAAGCAAGCAACCTTGTATAGTTACACGCTCATCATTGAACCACACCAATGACGAGAATGCAACCATACCTACACACAAGCAAGCAACAAACATTCTACCCTACTAACTATTCTTCCACGACAGTTTGGCGGCGTAGGTTCTAAGGTAGGATGCAAACTTCATTCCATCTTGACATCTGGGCACTTTAGATCGACCATTACCTTCTTATTCGTCGATCCACTTGACTTAACCTCCATAAGTAGACCACATTGGCGTCTTCAAGTTTCAACAAC